ATTCCCATTCTGGACTATACATTGAAACCACCTGGGGATCTTTAAAAACGCATGTCTGTGCCCCACCCCCAGAGATGCTCAGTCAACAGGTCTGGGTGCTGCTTGGGTCTTGGAAATTTGAAAGCTCCCCTGGTGGTTCTAAAGGCTGAGAACATTTACTGAAGCTCAAAAGCTGGTGAGGACCAGTAATCCCGGCCTCCCACCCCAAGACAAGGAGACACCCGGGATGAGAAGGACTTTCTGGGGCCTCTTCAATTTTAATGTGCAAACAAATCCCCTGGGGATCTTGTTGAAAAGCAGGTTCTCATTCAGAGGTCTGGGTGGCACACAAGATGCCTCATTTCTAACCTTTTTGTGCTTCCAGGAGAGGATCGCCAAGTGTCACGGCACGCAGTGTGGGTTCTGCACCCCTGGGATGGTGATGTCCATCTACACGCTGCTCAGGAATCATCCAGAGCCCACTCTGGATCAGTTAACTGATGCCCTTGGTGGTAGGTTATATGTGTGTGTGCTTTTTAAAATAATGATGATGGTAAGAGCTAATATTGGACAGTTACCATGTGCCCCACACTGTGTTAACCTCTATAAAAAGATTATTTCATTTACTCTTTACAATAACTTTATAAAATGGACATTATTATTATCTCTATTTCATAGATGGAGAAACTGAGGTTTAGAGAGAGTAATCTATTCAGAGTTAATACCATCAGTAAGTGGAGGAGTTGGTTTCTTCAAATCAGAATTCAAACAAGATCCACACATTGCACTTGGCTGATGTATTTCTTAAGTCTCTCTTAATCTGTAAGAGTCTCCTCACTTTTTTTTTTTATTACTTTTATAATCATTACAAAGCCAGTTTGTTTACCCTATAAGAGTCTCCTCCCTTTTTTATTGTTTTATTACTTTTATAATCATTACAAAGCCAGTTTATTCATTTACCCTTGGAAAAAGTCCAGCTGTCCCCATGTGCTGCCCTCTCCCACCATTCCCCAACTCTCTCAGAACCATAATAAATATCGGAAGAGTCTTGAATACAACACAGAATCAAAGAGAGGGAGATCTTCTGCTGATACTGATATCAAAGAACTGTCTTTATCCAGTGCAGAGCTGTTTTATCCAGGTCAGGAGCTCAGTGTGTGTGTGGGTGGGAGAGGTCTTCAATACCAAGATTCTAAACAATTTTTAGAAAGAGTAGCCTCCCAAATCCTATTTCTGGTGAAACTCTCCGTGGCTCTGTTTGTCTTTGTCTCCTGCCTCCCGAGGACCTTTCTTCTCTGCCTGAGAACATGAGGCTAACGCCCATGTGCACAGGTTCCCTGTACATGTTCCAGGGAAGACCAGAGCAGATGGAAATCAAAAGGAGAGACGCAGCACGTGAATCTCTGCCCGATTTCCTTTGGGTTTTATTATGCTTTTGATCTCATGACAGTTTATGATGTGAACAAGTGATAAGGGGTTCTCAAGTTTTATGGTGCTTAAGACTTGCATGGGGAGTTTGTAAAGAATGGGTCCTGGGACACAATCTCAGAGCACTTGCGTTAGTGGCTTTGTTTTTAACTTAGACTCCAGATTTGGAGGTGGGAGGGAGAATGAGGAATATGGACGGCCATGAGAGAAACACTGGCCTGATGTTTTAATTTAAATAAATTGTGTACCCAGCTGCTTCCAAAGTTTAGTGATTACTTTTTCTGCTATATAATGCTTTTGATCTTTCTATTGACTGAAGCCTAGCTCTTGAATGTGGCTGTAGACCAAGAATATTTGGCTTGAAATCATTGTGATCTTTGAGTGCCTGTCAGAAGCAGAGGTACCCCAACCCTAACTGTTTACGGAGAGAAAGTACAAATAGCTGAGTTGTTAAAATCTACCTCAAGACTCCCAACCACATATCCCAAGGTGCTGACGGAAAAATCTGACTTGGTAGATTGGGTGGGCTGAAATGTCAACCAGGGCTTCCTTCTAGGATGGGGTCCTTGTTTCCATCGTGCATTTGGCAGGCTGTGCCTCTCTAGGTTACTCGAGTAACAGAGCTGGGTTTTCTCCTTCAGGTAACCTGTGCCGTTGCACTGGATACAGGCCCATAATTGACACGTGCAAGACTTTCTGTAA